CGGGGACGACAACATAACGATGCCCCACTCATGGGAGGGCACAACATTATCCGATGGTTCGTTAAATTGTCCTGCCATATCGATGATAATATACCCCTTCATTCCAGTCCTAGCCAAATTTACCATAACATCGTCAATATTACTCTCACCCTCGTATTTTGTCACCGTTCGTGTCCTCCTGTCAAACAAGTATGCGAAAATTCCTTCCAAAGCAGTACACAACCACATGGAGCTTCGTGGCATCGTAGTGCAGCAGCTGATAAAGGAGGTAGGAGCCAGCCGCCATTGACTTCCCTACCCCGGGGGTTCCAATCAAAAGATGACGTCTCATGTATGGTGCGTCTATATCTGGAGGGAGAAACACTCCTTTTAGATCGCCCTCGACGATCTTCCACACCCGATGCACCTCAATGTTAATGTAGCAGTCGGCAATAGGCACTGCATGGTTCAGCGAGTACGGCCATCGCTGTTCAGAGGAAAGGATCATGAGTCGTGGGCGTGGTGGACGGAACTGCTCCTCACCACCCACTGAGAGAAAAGTACGCACAGTCTGCGTGTACTCCCATAACTCTTGTGGCCGTTGGCCCTCTCTCACCTCCATTCGCACCACCATGTCTTCCCCTTCGCCCTCGGGAAATCCCACGACGTGACTCCATGTTGCGTCAAATACGGATTCGTAGAGTTCCTCCAGCCTCGGTTGTCTGCCCATTTCCTCCTCTTCGCGCCCTCTTCCTTCCACACTTCGGAGCTGTGCGGGGGGCCATCCGAGTCGCCAGACAGCCCCGACCAGGCCGGACGTCCTCCTCCCTGCGACACATTAGTTGCTGGGGGCTCCTCGGTGGCGTGAGATTCTTCATCGTGTGTCTCAGACATGTTTTTCCTTGTTTTGTTTTTCTTTTCGTTCGTAGTGGTTGAGCTGAACTGTAGCACAATACTCAACCAGCAGTCAAAAGGGAGAATGAAATTATTTAAAAAAAAACAGGCAGAGACACAACTCCACGCAGCCGCAACGAAACAAAAGAGAGAGAGGGCCACCCACACACGGCACGCGGCGCACACCTCACACACACACAAACACGCACAAGCACCCCCAATCCCGCACACAACGCAAGCGTGATGCATCACGGCACCCTCCCACACAAACAACGAGGGAAAATTAGATCTCCCAGGCAAACCGTGCAAATTGCACGGCACACACAACAACTGCGACGAGGCTTCTATCTTCTTCTCGTATTGCACTTCACATTCGGATCCCCACAGCTCTGTGTGTGCGTAGTCACACGCAAACATCACCCACTCACAGTGAAATTGACTGCCTCGTCGTGGTGGCATTTTGCGCCGCAATTCGCTGAGGTGCGAAGGAGCAGAGCACCCGCCGCCTCTTCGTTCACCCGCAAGAAGAAGGAGGGTCGCCGCCGCATTGTCCCCCCGCGACGCAAATATACGCTGCGCCCAGCATGTGGTGCGGTGCACGTGAATTCCGCGATGTAAACTGTTT